ATGCATTACATTCCATTTATTATTAATAATTTTATTTATTCCTTCTCCAACTGAAGTACATTTAGATTATTTGCAGATGTTTTCTTGTTCATATGTGTGTGGGTGCTTTTCTATGGTGCATAACTTATATTCCCAGGTTTTTAGAAAGTTTAAAAACATTTTAAAAAATTATGAGTCATATTGAATATAAGTGTGCACTTATAATATTCTTAGTTTTCTATGTAACTTAAAAATACTCTCAAGATCCCAAGTGTTCAATGTGACTGCATGCTGTATTTAGCCTTGACTAAGGTGAACACATGATTTTTCTTTTAACCTGTCATGGTGAATTTGAGTAATTTTCTAATCTTGAAGTATCTTTGTATTCATGTAACACTAACTAATCATAGCAGTTACCTAAAAGATATGCTGCTGGATTTAATTTACTGGCATTTTATAAAAGAATTTCCCATCTATGTTCCTAACTATAACTGAACCATAGTTTTTCTTTCCTATACTCTCCCGGTTCAGAATTTGTAAAACGGTTTGGGACTTTTATAAAATGCATTGGATATCTTTCCATCTTTTCTAAGATCAGTAGAATTTTTCCCTTGAGTTGTTTTTCAGATTAATATTTAATTACATTATCTAAGTTCTCCATACCTTCTCTTGTATTTTAAATTTGAGTTGCATACTTCTGAGCTAGTTGTCTTCTATTCTGATAACAAATTGTCAAATTTGTAAAATTTCTCATCGTTCATAGCATTAGCTTAGGATAGGCCATGTTTTTAGATTCATGACAGTTCAGGAGACCATATTGTCTTCATGGACTTTATCCTTTAATATGAAATCCTTTCTCTTTTGATACTTTTAATTATATTAATATTGCTATATTGCTTTCATTTGGCTACCATTCGATTAAATATTTTAGCCCAGTATTTTCAAGCTTCCTGTGTTAAGAGTTTGCTTACGTCCAATTTATACTGGATTTTCCTTTTAATCCCAATTGTCTTTTTAAACTTGTGAGTGAAATTAACCCATTTATATTTATTGTAAATACTGATGTTTGGACTTACTTTTCACATTAAAAACATTTTTACCATATGTTCCAGTTTCTTTTGCTTATCTCATTCCCATTCTGCCTTCCGTTCAGCCAGATAAGTTTTTTTTTCATTTAGCAGCTCCCTTCCTTTAAATGGTCTGCAGATTATAAATCCAATTCAATTCTTGTGTTATTAACTTTAAAAACTTAAAAGTCACATTCAGAATATGTATATTGAAAATTAACATCGAGAGTTAATTTGCATCTATAATCCCTTGTATGTTTCCAAACATTCTCTGATTATCCGTTTTCACACTTACAAAATGGAGGCATGAGTTCTTCTTAAGGATTAAATGTGATGTAATGTCAAACACCAGCCTTTATGAACATGTCTTCAATTTCTTTATTCCATGTCTTTTTCATTCAATCAAAATACTTAAGGTCCAGGGCACACAATCACCCCTTAACTGCTTTGTCCTTCAAAGTCACCTTCTCTTTCACCACTTGCATCATTCATTATGGCCTTCAACTACTTTAAATTTCTTTGTAAGTCTCTGAATACCTTCTCAATCCCCCTTCAGAGAAAAAAAATCCCATTATACATGTATGCAAAGGTCTCTTTTGCTCTAAATTTAATGAACGTCATTATCCAGTAACTCCACGACTTTCTTCATTTATCCTTCAAAATGGCGGACTTCAGACGTTCCACGATCAGCACCACGTGCGCCTGCGCCTCCCGCAGCCATTTCACCCAGCAGCCTAACCTCTGCGAGGCGCCTGCGCACGAGCCTCCAGCGCACTGTCGCTCCTCCCTCTAGCTGAGTACGCCTGAAACCGCACGTTCTCTTCCCTTCCCTCCCCCGCTGACTCTGCACCGCCCTCACCCTTTCCTGTGAGATTCTTCCGCGAAGTGGAAGGCTCATCTTCGGTCGACAGCCCACGCACTTGAAGAACAATCCAATAGGCACTTATAGCTCAGGATCTCGCCGTTCAGTCTTATCTATGCGCCACGGCAATTTTCCTCCAGGTCCCAAAGTTGATAACCGATTTCGCGGGACTTTTTTTTTGCATACCGTGAGGCAACAAATGGAAAGAATGGGTCTGTGGCGGAGGGATCACTGGCTTATTCTCTGTGTACTTTAACCTAATGGGGGTCGCCCGGGAGTCGGAAGGGGGAGGGGAAAGGGAGGAGGCAGCCAAGGAATTGTTTTTTTCTCTGGCCCCGCCCTCGCCCGGCCGGCCAATGGTGATGATCTGTTTCCCCCGGAGCCTCGCCCAGCTCTTGTGTCTCAGCCAATGAGCGGCGGAAGCGGCTCCGAGGGGGCGGGTCCGGGAGGCTGTGCGTGTCTTGTGAGAGCTCTTGAACCAAGTCAGTGCTGGAGTCGCCTGGGCGGCTGGAAACGGCGGCTGCCGCCGGTGACTCAGGGAGGCGGGAGGCGGGGTAAGAGCGCCGCGGCCTCGGCTGCGGGGAGAGGGGGAAGAAAGGTGAGACAGCGGAGCGCGCGGCCCCGCCGTCCGTTGGCAGCGGCGCAGGCCAGGAGACTTTACCTGAAAGCTGCAAAATTTAATGGTTTAGATTTATGTATAATAAACTTATTTAAACTTTTTCCATAAGAAGAAAAATTAAGACAACTTATTTGAAAACAAAGATGAAGTCTCATATTACAATTGACTTTCTCATTAGTTTCTTCCAAAGTAAGGTC